TTGTAACAGCGCCACCTACCGAATTGGATAATATAGCGGAGGCTGCAGTTTCAGGACCGCATTTCTGGGACCCTGGTGGTTTAGTTTGTAGTTATGTTTGTACATTGTTGTTAAAGATATTGAATTTTTTTATTTAAATTGTGATTTTTGATTTATAAATGCATCAGATGTTAATTACAAAGTGTGTAATACCTGCTTTGAGTTGAGGCGCCGCACGAGACGGTCGCTTGGGGTGACGCATGTGAGCCGAGGCGTTTAGAGGGCGAGTCAACGGATTTTTCTCCCTTTCTCTCGCTCTCTCCGGGCCATGTGCAAGCGCTCGAAGAGCGCTACGGGGATCCCGTGGTCTTCGTCAATGACAATTTGCGGCCTACCCCGGAAGCTCGCGATGCGATGTCTTTCGGTTGTATGCCGTATGATGAAGACGTGCTGTCCACAGCAGCCTCCGATTCGGAGGATTTATTGGGCGAACTGTGCAGTTCTCTCCCTCCGAGTGGACAGGAGAAACGCACCTCCACGTCTTACAGCGAACTATTAGATGTTGTAACACGCGCTGTGGATAAGCTGGGGTTAGAATGGGATAGCGAGCCGGTGCAAACTCAGTCCCAGTCGAAACTGGACGATCGATTTTTGTCCAGCCGCACTCCGTCTCAGCCCCGTAGGCCTCTCCCCTTTTTCCAAGACCTCCACTACGAGGTTTCGAGGTCTTGGAAACAACCTTTTTCGGCGCGTATCACTAATCCCGCTGCCGCTGATTTCGCCACGGTTTCTAAAATGGCGGCTCACGGCTACGCGGCGATGCCTGCTGTAGAAGAGACACATCTCGCGCCGAACTCCGCTCCGTCTTGGAAGTCACGCCCTCTGCTACTGTCCAAGCCGTGTAGGGTTACTTCCGCTTTGATCGGGAAATCTTACATGGGCGCTGGGCAGGCCGCGTCTACACTCCATTCTATGGGTGTACTCCAGGCTTATCAGGCAGACTTGCTCAAGGAGCTGGACAAGGGAGAAGGCTTGACTCCAGAGGCCGTTAAATAGCTCAGACGAGCTACTGACTTGGCGCTTAGGGCTACCAAGCACACAGCTCGGGCAGTGGGCAGGTCCATGGCAGGGTTAGTGTCAGCTGAGCGCCATCTTTGGCTTACTCTCACTGACATTAAAGAGAAGGACAGAACTTTTCTCCTGGACGCCCCCATTTCGAGTGACGGTCTGTTTGGAGACTCGGTCACTACGGTCGTGGAGAAGTTTAGAGCAGCGAAACAGCAGTCCGCTGCGTTCCGTCAACTCATCCCTCGCAGGGCTAGGGAAGTGGAGCGTCAGCCACCTACGGCCCGCTCACGCTCTTCGTCCTTACAGTACCGCGAGGTCCAGCGGCATGAGCCACCGCCTAGGTTACCCCCTCGTAAAGACTGGGGTCCTAGGTCTCGCCCACCGGCTTACGCACGGCAACGCAAGCGAGTGGACCTGAGTTCGACGGCAAAGCCCTCTCGTCCTCAGGCCCCTAATAGCAGTTCCTGATTCCTCCGCTCGTCTTCGGAGGCCAGGCCCTCCTTTAGAGAGAGCTTACGAACCACACAAGCGCATTCGACTCTCTCGCTGTGGCCTCCAGACTTCGATCTTGACGGTTCCACCGCATATTGCGCCTCAGGCAGTTTTAGATTGAGTCCTTACGACGAGCACCTCCTCGGATACTCTGCGCGCTCCAGCCTTCAGAGTTCGAGAAAAAGCCCAAGGGTCATGCGAGCATGGCCCGTTTATGACGGCCTCCAAAGCTCCCACTGTTGGGGCAATGGGCAGGCCCGACAGAACAATCGGTCAGCTTCCCATTATAGTTTTTCCCGCCACTCAGGTGCTTCGGGATCCTATACAAGAAAATCAGATGTACGTTTCAACTGTAGAACACCCAAGACCCCTGGCAGACTACTGGGCCGCGTGGAGACGCCTGCCCGATATTTCACGCTTAACTAATATGCTAAAACAATGAGTATCAAACAATTTTTCAGACTAATACAGTAAGCTACAGGTAAATCTGACACATCTCATATCAACATGCTTTTATCATCTTTTTAAGTTTAATTAATGTGCTGGCTAGATTTACTTATTGTAGTCATTGTGTCAACAAGGTTTAGCTTAATTAAATCATGGCCACGAATTAAGAACATCGTAATAATCAATAAAACTAGCAATCGGTAATTCATTATTATTTCTTAGCAGTTCTCACGTTGGCTACGTAAACTTTGCATCGTTTTAAGGTTATAAAATAAAACTTAATTGAAAATCGGTAAAGTTACTCACTCTGGTTGCCCATCTTTAGTGATCCAATTCGGTAGGTGGCGCTGTTACAAAAGAATAGGGTCCTAGAACTGCGGTCCTGAAACTGCTGCCTCCGGTTGTGCAGGAACGAGCAAAGCAGGAGTCTAACTTGCAAACGCCAGACCACTGATTCGTCAAACCTGCTTTCCTGCAGTCCGTGTTCTTCTGACTTTTGACTACTTTGTAGTAAGTAACGAATATGCTTCGGGGAAATGTATCGGAGTAAAAGTATACATTTGAATTAGGAATTGTAATGGAGTAAAAGTAAAAGTTGGCTGAAATATAAAAACTCAAGTAAAGTACAGATATTCCCAAAAAATACTTAAGTACTGTAACGAAGTATTATTACTTCGTTACATTACAACACTGGACAAACTACAAAGAATATGCATGACAACAGGGGTTCCCAAACTTTTTTTGTCCGCTGAACCACCTTATATGTAAAATATTTAGGCTACTTGAGATACTGTTAATATATTAAAAAATTAAATGACATTAATATTATTACCTGTAATTGTTAAAAAACGTTTTCAGTTTTATTTTGAATAATTGTTGTGTAGTCATTCTGACACAGAGAGGATTTTCTTTTCCCTGAAAATGCTAGTTAATGTTCGTATTAGTCTAACTGACCAACTTTGCACCCACAGGCTATAACAACATCCTAAATATTGATTAATTGATTTACTGATTGATTGATTGACCATTTTTGCACTTTTTGGAAAAAAAAAAAGTAGTAGTAATAGTAGAGGAGAAAAACAATGTGCTAACTGAAAGAAAACAAAGTGACAAAAACATTAACTCCAGGTAATTTTTTAGGGCCGGTCATTTTTGACCGTAAACACCAAATTTGGAAAAAGCACAAAGGTTAATTTTACATTTGATTTAATTATTAGTTTCTTATCAACTTGTCATTTGGGAAACCCTGCATTACTACAATAAAAGGCAAAATCACCACTGACAGCATGATAGTATATTTAATAGAAAATCCTGGAGGTTTTGTACATTTAAGTTTTGTCATCCAATCTGCTTTGACATAGCATATAGCACTCTCACTAAAGAAAAATACAATTAGCATTAACAAAATGCTCCATAATGTTGTTAAGGGATATATTTACTAAAGAACTTTTACACTGCAATAAAACATTTTTATAAACTCCAGTGACATACATATATATACATATATATATATATATATATATATATATATATATAGGTCATTTTGAAAAACTATTCAGAAGGGGCCCTGGTGTGAACGCAGTGTAACACAGCCATGGATCAGAGCCAAATGCAGAGGACCGCGAGCACGCGCCGCATGCGATCACACACCGCAGTCAAAAATCAAAACGCCATCATATTAAACTGAGACAGGGAATATCTGATTGCATACGACACATTCCACAAATACTCTAGCTAACCAGATTAGACGTCTAAATCGGATGAGGATGGAGTTGGCTGTGACTGTTGGTGTTGTTTACATGTCTAACAGCATCCTGAGGCTGGTTTGTCTTTATGATTTTTGTATATATTGGTGTCGCGTGTTGGACGGGTGCCGCTTGGAGAAATTAGCGCATTTTTAAAGGTTGCAATGATGCACCGCAGACCCCGTTTGGTTTACAAGAGCAAGTGCACACATCTAAATGTCTTATTTCCGGTATTTTTTTTGACCATGGTGCCCGAAGGAAACGACTACCTGTGACAGGTAACGCTATCGTCAAGGATCTGACCGCAGATAAATAAACGATTCCCGATTCCAGTGACCTTTAGAGCTAAACTAAAAGATAGGATCTTACCCAAATAATCAGGCTCTCGCACAGCACCGTTTTATTTAAATCCATATCTCCTCTTATGCTATCGGGCAAATATTTCCGTCCACCTGTCAACAATGCGCTTCCCCTTCCCACCTGCGTGTGTATTTGCCTAGCACTCACCAGCACTACGTTCACGTCTATTGCGTCTACGCACTAATTGATACGCAAAGGCTTCGTGAATGTCCGCCGCAGACACATCGCGTGCTGCGTTGGTAAGGATTGGGGGATTGACGAGATCAAGAGCGCAACATTAAGAAATAAAACACCAATGGTGTATTGAGTTCAGGACACCGTGTAGAGATCCGAAGAGACTGGCAGAGCAGAGAACACGGATCATGTGGAATAAAGCGTTTGGTTTCCACACTATGGAAACTGAATAGGCTATGGGCACCTAAAAAGTGAAAATAAAATAGCCTACAATGTGTTACAAAATACTGTCAAATTTATCATCAAAATACCCAGATTCGTCCAAATAAGCACGCTTTAAAAAATATTTAGCCTTAAAAATATTAAGCCTATAAAGACATATTTAAAATGCAAATTTAAGATGATCAGCTGGTACCATCTTGGACCAGCAACAAACCAAAGGTGGTCAATCTGAAATGTAGCCTAGTAGGCTAGTTGGTCATCCAAAAAATGATCAGCTATCGCCATAATGATCATCTTTGACCAGGTAGCCTAATGATTATCTTATTGAACCAGCTATGACCAGAAACCATTAAATCATGTTCCAAATCATGTAAATCATTATCATTTTTCAATACTTATTGGGTAAATCTGACAATTTCTTATTTGTTTTAATGTAGTTATTTTTACTTGTCATCCCATAGGGACATTCACTTTTATGCACAGATGCTTTATGATCAACAGCTCCCAAAGACAGGTTTTTTAAAGTAGCTATTTATTTATTTTATTGCCACTGCCACTTATAAAAATATGAGTTAAGCTACACTAATGGTACAGAATAAAGGTGACTAAACCTTCAAATTAACTTAAAAAAATTTGAGAAAAAATGTAAAATTGAGTTTAAATAATGATGTACATACTTTAGATTTACACTGATTTGTGTTTTCTGTTGTTAAACATTAAACATTAACGTCTCTCAATCTTTTTATTACCTTTTTGTAATAAAAACATAAGATAAGATTGTGATGTGAAGTCACATGCGTTTACCTAGTATGGGATGAGCACATGTGGGAATACCTCATATACAAAATAAGAGACACATTAGTGCCTTTATTGCAAACAATTGTATAATATATAAATAGATAATAATCAATAGAATTAGAAATAAAAATAAATAAAAATAGATCAACTGCATACCTTTAAAGTTTAGATAAATTATTTCTTTTATTCACTCCATTTATAATTTCACCATAAAGCCACATTTGATAACATTAAATTTAGTCTTCAACTTGTTAACCACATGGGACAGCGTAACTGGTGGCAGTATTCCTTGACTGACATGACACTGGACTTTAAACCATGACAGCATCCAGATTCTCATTTGGGCCATGGGTCTTTAACCCACCCCTATGCCATCAAGGCCCTTGTGGATCAACAGCTGCTATTTTCAGCCACAACGACCTTGCGGTTTAATGAGAAAGGTAAATATTAGCTTGAGAAATTTTTAGCATAAAGCTCCAGGGCAAATGCACTGAAATGGAGCCAATTTGGAAGTGGGGTAACGTAGTTACAAAAGCTGTCTCATCAATAAAGAATGTTGATAGATATAAGAAACTTATAAATAACCCACACATGATACACTCTATTTGAGGGTCGATGTGTAATATAATAAGCCTATAGTATTAGTGTAGTATTAAAGCAGGTGTAGATTGTTTTAACCTGCTGGATTGCCCTGCATGATTGTTCCAGGCATCCCAGTGAAATGCCTTTCTTTGGTCATCAATATGGGACAGCGTAGATTGTGTAAATGTACAGTAAACCATTGACAGGTTAACCAGACACCTAACCTACTTAAAATAGGAGGAGACTTACAACCTGTGTCTTTGAACCTGTGATAGTGGTCACATGACAAAAATACAACACTGGAGACCGAGAAATCAGTGCAAATACAGTCAATAAACAGATTTTCACATGCATTAACATATTGCAGAGGCCCGTAAGGTTGCAAGCAAGTTTCCTGAATTTCGAAAACCCAACGGAATCATTGTAGTTACCTAATCTCCAAAAAAAGGGGACTGATGCCCTGGTCAATGATTAACCCGTCTGTCAAATTTACTGTGTACAATGCAGCAGTGAGAAAGCATTCCAGTCTTTGCCTTCCACAAGAGAAAGCAACTGAATTACGAACAAGAAACATGCCCACCAGCCACAGCTTCCACAACAGGTGAGAGAGACAAACTTTTTGGGTTAGATTTGTATTAATTACATTTCATGCACATTTTGTCTGCTGTGTAATGTTTAAATGCTGCCATTGGAGGATTTTGTCTGATATAAGGCTATATTTAAACATTTTAATGATATGCAGCATTATTCATTTTATAAATAATGAAATATTTATATATAGCTATACATGTAATATGATGAAGTGTTGTGTCCTGAGACTGCAGGTTAACTGTTATGGTATTGTGGGGCAATAAAAGGCACCACACAGAAACTAAATATTATGACATCAGACAGTTCAGTCATGTCAGCCTAACTTTATTCAGTTCTAAACTGAACTCAGAGTCTTATAATTCTCAAATACTTTCACATAGGATCATTTTCACAATGTTGTGTTGTTTTAAAGACATAGGATGCTGTTTAAGATAACATAACTGCAGGATATCAAGCTATAATAAGATGCAAATATAGTTATTTTCATATCGCAAATGTTAGTTCAGTAGTACTGACATATTTCAAAGGCTGATGTACTTTAAAGGGGTCATATGATGTTGCATGAACATTATTTTGTGTATTTGGTGTAATGAAATGTGTTTATGCGGTTTAAGGTTAAAAAAAACACATTATTTTCCACATACTGTACATTATTGTTTCTCCTCTATGCCCCACCTTTCTGAAACACGTAGATTTTTACAAAGCTCATCGGTCTGAAAAGCGAGGTGTGCTTTGATTGGCCAGCTATCCAGTGCGTTGTGATTGGCCGAATACCTCAAGCGTGTGATGGGAATGTTACGTCCCTCACCATATTGTGATGATGCCCTGTCCAGCCGGAGTGACGAGACAAAAACATTAAATCCCATTATAAACGAGGCATTTGTTGCATCCAGTGGGGACATAATTACGGATTATAATGATTTATACTGTCTTTTTATGCGTTGCATCGCGCCGCGTAAACATAAAACCATGTCTACATTTGTGATCAGAGAAATGACAAACAACAAGCGCTACTCTACACTGCCCAAAACTCGTGTTTGAATCATCAGTGGCAAATTCTTTAAATTAAAAAAAAGAGTCAGAACAGCCAGCATTGTAGTCTACTCTACCAGGATCAGGAAACAGTCCTCCATAAAATGCGCTGCACACATCTGAATATTTGGGTTGAACTGTTCTGGAACTGTGTTGTAAATACAACTTAACCACTGATTTCTAGTCGTGTCCTC